GAAGCCACCGTACCTATACCCTGGCCAGCACGCCAACCCACAGAAAAACTCAGAACAGCGGCCCAGAGACTATCGAAGCCCCAGAGAAACAGGCTTTACCTGCGAACTCTCCAGTTTCCAGTCAGAATGTTGTGTTTAATTTTCTTCTCCTGCTCTTCATTCATATACGGGATCCCGTTTTTGAGAAACTAGACGAGGAACAAGGAGACTAGTAGAGGCATCCTCTGGGCAGGGGAGCAGAGGGAAAAGCCGACTTCCTTGTACAGTTCATGTGGACAGGAAATGGACTCAGCCCAGCTGGACCAGAGAACCTTTAAAACCTTCCCACTTCCCTCCTCTGTGTCATACCTTGTTGTAGTCGAAGCCATACTGATTCAAAAACTGAACACTAGAAGCCTGGAAAGAGAATTCTGAATCCAAGATCCCAAATGTCGTCGGGAAGAGAAAGAAGTTACACGAATGGGCTACATACCTATAAAAAAATAAATAAATAAATGTAAGAGGGGCACCTGGGTGGCTCAGTCATTAAACAACTGCCTTCAGTTCAGGTCATGATCCCAGGGTCCTGGGATCGAGCCCTGCATCCGGCTCCCTGCTCAGTGGGAAGCCGGCTTCTCCCTCTCCCACTCCCCCGGCTTCTGTTCCCTCTCTCACTGTGTCTCTCTCTGTCATATAAATAAAATCTTTAAAAAAAAATTTAAATGTTAAGAATGAAAAGCTGAAACAATTTTTAAAATTCTAGCTCACAGAGCTGAATTTGGAGCAGGCTGCTCCTTTCATTCTAAGAGTATTTGAATGTTGGCTGTTTCTAGCACTAACTAGCCCTGGGGCCAAAGGAAAAAGGCAGAGGTCCTACCAACAGGGAAGAGTCTAGCCCCCATCCTGATGCTACCGTTCAGCACACTTTCTGACTGCTGATGCCTGGAGCCACAACGCCCTCATTCTGACACCATGTTAACTGCTACTCTGAGGGCACGGACACAGAAATGGGGAGAGGAGCACTTAAGTGCTGGGAAAGGCCCCCAGGAAAGATGTTGTGCAGGGAGAGACTCGGATGAGCCAGAAGCTGCAGCAGACAGTGGGGTGGAAGGGCACGGAAACAGAGGAGACTATGGAGTGTCCAGGGCCAGCTGGTTCAGACCCTGAGGCAGAAATTGCAGGGGAGCAGGTGGAGAAGATCAGTGGGCAAGAGCCAGGTGTTTTGCACGTACTTGTTTGACTCTCCTTCAATGCTGGAAAACACAGACAATCCTAAAAGAAAGAGGAGGAAATGAATACCAAAGAAAACGTCCCAGAAGTGAGCTTCAGAAAGGAAACACTTTGAGCAATACTTTGCACTTAAAGATACTGTGTACCCTTTAGAATAAGATTATCTCCTAAAGAAAGAAAACATAGAGCCTGAGTGGCTCAGTTGCTTAGGCAACTGCCTTCCACTTAGGTCATGATCCCAGGGTCCAGGGAGTGAGCCCTTCATGGGGCTCCCTGCTCATGGGGCGTCTGCTTCTCCTTTGCCCTCTGCCCTTCCCCTGACTCATGCTCTAATACAATTTTAAAAAAAGAAAACAGAGACTTGGAACAGGAGAACTGTCAAATTATAATTCACACTGAAATTATTAAAAGAGAATGGTGAATGGTTCTTCAAACACAGAATACTGACCTTTTTTCTAGTTTTAAAACTAACCAGAGTAAAAAAAAAATAAAAATTAAAAAAACTAACCAGAGTAAATGCTAAAAAACCATGAAAATCTATACAATTAGCGGCTTCAAAATGTCCATATTGCTAAAGAGACCCTACACAAAGTGAAGAAGGCTTCAAAGTAGGGGAGGACAACAGAAACATATCCACATGCTGTTTCATATACTTTCCATAGAGATTTTACTATTAAGTAAAAAACCACAATAGAATAGCAAAGGACAAGGAGAGAGAGCAACACACACACAGATGTTCACCATTCATAGAAAAAGCAAGAGTCGGTAAAATCTGCTGGAAGTATACCAAATACATACGTACACAGCAGGACAATCAATACAACTTGTTTTATTACACACAAAAGGTCACCCAAATGTGCATCATCAGGAAACGGAGTCAATTGATACATTCAGTTCGAAATAGTAAGTGACTGTTAAAAATGGAGAGCGGTCTATGCCCATAGAGAAAGATCTCTAAGCCCCATTAACAAAAAAGGCTGCAGGGCAAAATACTTATAACATCATCTTGTTTAAGTTTTCTGTAAACAAAAACCATACACATTTTTTCTTGGACGATGGTACAGACTCCTTCATGTTGACAAACTGAGGCAGGAGAACGGAGCTGCTACCCTAGGTTTCTGCACTGCACAGTGGGAGGCCCACCGGCAAAACACAGGCAAAAATCAAACAAGCATCCTAAACCACAGCCAGTTGCTCCAAAAGGGGTCAAGGCTGTTTTACCAGCAGGAAACACAAAGACAACACAGGTACCTCCTGCAGGGACTCCTAGCAAACGGCTGAAAAGGACACTCACCAATCTGACAGATTGTGAACTGCTGGACACTGTGGCGGGTTTTTAGATACCACTCCGAGGGCAAGTCAAAGAGACTGTGGGAAAAATAACAGGCATTTCACTCCACACGCAAGGAGAGGGCATGAAGGTGCCACAGCCTCACCGTGGATGGGCACCTCTCAGCCAGAGGGAGCATTTTACCTTGTGACCACTAGGGAAGACTAACCGGCATTTTGAGGACAAAGGTCAGGTCCCCAGACACCCCTCCCTGCCCCAAAGTGCCATCCTGCCCCCTCAAAGCCAATAAGGGGCCTGCTGAGAAAGAAGAGGACCTGGCTGGAATGCTAGTCTCAAGGGCACAGGTGAGCGCACCCCCCGCAGCCCAGCTGTAAGGCAGCGTTGGCTTTACCTGATCTGCTGGGGGTGCGACAGGTTAGAGCGAAGGCCCGTGAACTCTATGTCCAGACCTGTGAGCCAAAAAAGAAAAAAAAAGAGTCCCAGACACAGACCAGTGCCCCACTATTCTTGCTGTCAATGCTGCAGGTGGCAAACGTGTTGGAATCACTGTCAGTGCTCAAGAGGACAGGTGGGGTCAAGGGGACGAAAAGGAGAAAGCCAAAGCAAGGACACGCCAGGCCGGTCGTCCCATGGGCTGTGCTCCACTGGGGCCAGAGCAAGGCCAAGGCCGTAGGTGCTGCTTAACGTCCCACCGCCCAGCCGGGAGGAGGACTCTCCCGCCCTTCTGAGGGGCCCTCTTGGAGCCTCCCGAGGCCTGGCGCCCGTCCCTACTGGGCCTCACACCTCTCGGCCCTGTCCTGCCCCGCCCCTGCCCTTCCCCGCAGGCTCACAGCCCCCAGAGCTGAGCGGCGACACCGCCGGGACTCCCCGCGCCTTACCCACGAAGTCAGCGCCCAAGACGAGCTCCTGCAGCAGAGGGAGACTCTGCTCGAACTCGTCGGCGCCCACATCCATGGCCACGCAGCTCCGCCCTGGGCGCCGGGTGCGTGCGGCCACGCGCTGCCACGCGCTTCCGCCGCGCTGCCGGCCTTAAGGAGCTCGCGCGGCGATTGGCTGCGCGCCGCCACCTGCCCGCCCACAGGTGTCTGCTTGCTCACCTCCGCCAGCTGGGGCTGCCGGAGATCCCGCCTTCACAGCCAGAGCCCAGTTACCGTGGCCGCAGCGATTTCTCTGCAGTTGCCGGAAGGGGCCACTTACGTAGACCTAAGGTACCAAGAGGGGTGGTAGAAAACAGTGCAGAAGGGTGCGCGAGACCGGCCAGCAGCACCCGAAGAACAGCAGTAGGGAGGTAATCACAGCAGCTGTGGCGAGGGGAGGGGCCGCATCTCATCCACATTGAAATCAGCGCAGCTTGGCCCTAGTGAGCTGGCCCGGTCCCCTCCCCCACACCCCACCTATTTCTTCACTTTGGTCTGCAACATCGTCTGCAATACCCTCTCTCAAACTTGCCCCAAAGACCCTCAGGAACTGCCTATCAAACTGAGGGAATCTGGTGAAGAGATGATCTAGGGCCATCCTAGTCCTTGCAGAGAAAACCCCTATTGTCCAGGTGAATCCTATTTTTGTCATTGCCAATTTCCAAAGCCACTAGTCCAGTCTTTGGTCTTTACATCTTCCCTTGGACACCAGACTTGTTTGAAAAGCCTTCTACAACTACAGTCTTCAAAGTGAGATGCTCCAATCTTTAAGATGAGGCAAGGATATATCAGGCCTTTAAGAAACACTTTTAAATGTCTCCACTGGGGTATTTATTGGTCACAAGGGGACCACTAAGTCACTGCATTCTGAAGGCCTCTCAGAACCAATCATACTTTTTAAAAAAATGTTGGTGCATACCCATCTTTTTAAAATATCAAACACTTGTAAATAAAATCTTTAAAAAAATAAAATACCAAACACTCAGGTTAGAAATAAAAATGTTATTTGATTTCTGTATAAATATGAGATTAGGCCACCCATTTAAAAATTCGGAAAGCTCTAGAAGCCATCTTAACTGCTTACAGGTTCTTTCTCATCGCACCGGGCTTAAGTAGCCAGAAACAGTTCTTTTGATTTAATTGAATCCTATCAAAGAGCTGCAGTGATGCCCACCTAGCCCAGCTTCATTTTAGATTCCGGTGAATGCACTTCAAGCTTCTTCTCCTACCCAGCAAATTCTCACTTCAAGCCGAACTGAGCATAAGCCAACCCTGCTCTCGTCCACCTCCACTTTCGGTTCCTCACCGCATTCCTTCTTCTTTCACATCTGGTTCTGCATGTCAGGGATCAAGAGCCCAAATAAGGTCATGATTTGTCCCTTTTATCTTCACAGCACTGTTTATAATAATTAACTGAAAAGGACATTTCCTATTTTAAAAAAAGGTCCACACTCTGCAGCAACAGCTCTCATTTATTCAGATCAACCACTATCAGCTGGACATGGTAACAAGCAGTCTGTACAAACCTCGTATGTGTACTCTCGCCACAGAGGGCTCAAAGGCAAAGATTTCACGTAACCAAAAACAGCTCATAATCTGTGTTTATTCTTTAACTTATAAACAACATTTAATTTGTCCTTGCAAAGTTAATCATAACTGGCAACAGCTTTTTCTCAGATACTTCTGTCCAAGAGAGGGGAAGAATTTAGCCCTTGATTAAACCACCGCCCCCTCAATACACACACAAGGGAAGGAGGGGATGACCTTAACTAGTGACAATACTTCACAGTAACATGATTAGACAAAACTTCCAAACTGGATGCTCTTCCAAATGCTCTCTTCTGGAGGACAGGACAGCTCACAGCTTTTGTATTCATAGGTTCGGAACAATGCTCCTCTCTCATTCATAGATTCTCCGAGGCTCCCGCAGCACCACACCACCTTCTGTCATGGCACTCTGCAGTCGTTTCATCTGGTTTTGAAGATCCGAGAAAAGGAAAAAGTTAAGTCACCACAACAAGGAAGCTGACAATAAACAGTTCACTTCCCAAGAGAACTAAAAAAGCTGATTTGCTCCTTGCTAACTCTCAGCCTGCACGGATTCTTCCAGAAAGTGGTAATAATGACACAGATAAGAGGCTCTAGAGATGTCAAAGATTAGCAGCATTTCATCATACAGACAAGATGTTAACACATGGACAGGGAAACACAGTGGGGGACGTCGCAGTTATAGAGTCAGTCACCCCGGACTCACTCTGGACAACCCAGCCTCAAGTGACCTGGGCATTCGACTCCTGACCTCTGGGCTGCAATGAATGGAATGAGGTCACGCATGTCAGGATACCCACCTCAGCATCTGCCACATGGGAAGAACTTAATAAATGCAACTACTGTTACTGTGTAAGGACCTGCTGTCGGGAATTCCTACTTTTTTAAAAATAAGTACATGAAAACCAAAATACCGAGTCTGAGGCTGCCTCCCAAGGAGTGGGCTGGTAGACCATGAAGTTGATTCCTGCCTCTAAGCATCGTTCTGCCAGCACTCGTCCTACACTCTCACAGGCCACCACATTTCTGGTGCTGTAAAGGTGCTTTTTAATAGCCCATTCCCGAGTGGATGCTGAAACCACAACCTGGCCGTTGCGATGCTCAACGCGCGCTTCTACGTGATGCTGAGTCCTGATAACTCGCAACCTAAGTGAGATGAGAAGAGAAGAAAATCACAAAAGGGTCCTAAAGGTAAAAGGCCTCAGGTGAATAAATGCCTACATATTTCTCAAGAATACAATGTCTGTTTCACTTATTTCAACATAGTTAACCTGGATTTGACTTGGAAAAGCTGTTTTTCCTCTGTCTTTATGAGCATATCCTCAATAACAACAAACCAAACATTTCCACTTAACCTCAAATATCCAGGAGAAATCTGGTATTTGAGATGTGAGAATTACACAGCATCACTTCAAAAAAGGATTTCAGGAGGCAGCGCTAAGCTCTGTGATCCTCCAGTGAGTAAGGATATTTATTTACGTTATGTTTCTACTTTCCAGCTAACACTAAAATAAACGTAAGATCGATCAAAGATTTAAATTAAAAACTGAAACTGTAATACTAGCAAGCAGATTTTTTTACAACGTCAAACTAAGTCTTATTTATTTATTTAGTTTAAATTCAATTAACATGTAACATTAGTTTCAAAGTGATTCATCAGTCTTATATAACATCCAGTGCTTATTACATCATGTGCCCACCTTAATGTCCACTCCCCAGTTATCCCATCCCCCGACCTCTTTCCCCTCCAGCAATGCTCAGTTTGTTTCCTATGATTAAGTCTAAAGTAAGCCTATTTAAATACGACATCAAACCATGTCATCCAACCTTTATAAAGAAAAAATTGACCAAGTTTTCTACAGTTAAAAAAACAGTAAACTAAAGTCAAAAGGCAGCAAGAAACAAAAAATACTTTAAACACATATTATTCATGGGGCTGATTTCCATATGTATGAGAGCCTCCTATAATTAGTTTAAAAAAAAAAATACCTTAACAGGCAAAAGGTTTGAACAGACCATTCACAGCAACAAAATATTAAAGACTCTTGGGCCCATGAAAATACACCCATCTCACTGATGAGATGCATGGACTAGGCAATTCATTGCTACCCTGTTCAGGATCATTAAGGTAATCATCAGTAAGAAGCTAGCTCACTAAGACAGCCATATGGTGGTATTCTATATAGCCACCAGAAAGAATGACGTAGCACTTACGGCAGTGCTGCTGCTGCCGTTCGTTGAGCACCTACTGTGCCAGGCACTGTCCTCCTGCTTACAGGCAGAGCTCCTGTTTCAAAATGATCTCACGTTTTTCCTTTCTCTTTCTCTTTTTTTTAAGGTCGAAGAAACTGACACAGAAAGGTTTAGTAACTTCAGCAAGATTACAACTAATGGTAAGTGAAAGAACTAGTACTTCAATCAAGGGGTCTGGCTCCAGAGCCACTGTTCCTCAACAACACAAAGATGTATTCTGAAGGAGGCAGAGAGGATTCAGATGAAAAAGATCAGATGAAAAAGAGTGTACGTGGTATGCTAATATTTGTAATTTTTTTTTTAAGATTTTATTTATTTATTTGACAGAGAGAGATCACAAGTAGAGAGGCAGGCAGAGAGAGAGAGAGAGGGAAGCAGGCTCCCTGCTGAGCAGAGAGCCCGATGCGGGACTCGATCCCAGGACCCTGAGATCATGACCTGAGCCGAAGGCAGCGGCTTAACCCACTGAGCCACCCAGGCGCCCAATATTTGTAAATTTTTTAAAAAGATTTTATTTATTTATTTGACGGAGAGAAAGAGAGAGACACAGAGAGAGAAAGCACAAGCAGGGGAAGCGGTTGGCAGAGGGAGAAGCAGGCTCCCAGCCGAACAGGGAGCCGATGTGGGGCTTGATCCCAGGACCCTGGGATCATGACCTGGGCCGAAGGCAGACGTTTAAGGACTGAGCCACTCAGGCACCCCAAAAATCACAGTTTCTTAATCAAAGGTCAACAATCCTTTTCCATTAGGACTCAGATAGTAAATGTTTTAGGTATGTAAGCCCTAGAGTCTCCTGCAACTGCTCAACTCAGGCATAATAATACTAGAACAGCCAGGTGAAAATGAGTGGCGGTATATTACAATAAAACATTCTTTGTGGATAATAAAATTTGAATTTTATATCATTCTCACATCGCAAAATATTATTCTTTGGGATTCTTTTTCACATTTTAAAGGAAGGAAATTTTTAGCTTGCAAGCCAACTTTGGCCCATGGGCCATAGTTTGCTGATCCTTGTCTTAAACCATTTGTTCAACAAAGGCATAGGCCTCATCCTCTCTAAGGTCACTTCCTATTATAATATGCCAAAATTCTATACTGATAATACTGTGAATATACTAGATAGGAAAAAAGAAGTGGGAAAATAGATCTCTAATTACTTAAATGATCCAATATTAAGTAAATAGGTTGAATGTGTCAAAAGAATTTTAGATTAATTCAAGTGATCTGCCTACTACTCCTTTTGACTCCTTTCTATGTACACTAAGTAAAAATGCATCATAGCACCTGTAAAATTTTATTAACCTAATTCCATCTTCTACAACAAAACATAAAATTTTTGCTAACAAGGATGACATGCAATGCCTTTGAAGTGCCACAGGCCTAAGGTTTGTTGAATGAATGTGTCACACAGTTATGACTTCTATGTAACTTCCAATTACAATTTTATATAGTCTCTAAGAAATACTCCATTCTTAACAAATGCTTACCAAGTAAATAACCAAGTAAATAACATAAAGCAGCACATTAGTAACAATTTATAGTGTCTTGGCTCTCAGGCAGGTCAGACAAAAACATGTTTATAACTTAGCTCTAGAGCTTATTAACCTTGTCTCCCCTAAGCCTCGATTCTCTTGCTCCCACAAAATGGAGGAAATTACTGTACCTGCTTCATAAGGTAATTTTAAGGGTTAAATGAGGAAGTGCACAAAAAGCAACTAAGGGTTCCTGGTAAATACAAAGTGTTCAATAAATAACCATTTTTAGGGCGCCTGGGTGGCTCAGTGGGTTAAGCCTCGGCCTTCAGCTCAGGTCACGATCTCAGGGTCCTGGGATCGAGTCCCACATCGGGCTCTCTGCTCTGCAGGGAGCCTGCTTCCTCCTCTCTCTCTCTGCCTGCCTCTCTGCCCACTTGTGATCTCTCTGTCAAATAAATAAAATCTTAAAAAATAAATAAATAACCATTTTTATAACAAAGAACAGACTCCTCACTTGTCTCCCTGCTTCTATTCTTCCCCCCTTTACAAACTTCTCCCCAGAGCAACAAGAATGGTCTTCAAGTTCAAAATTTATTAAATTCTCTCAGGTTCCCACTATTGTGAAAAACTGTGAAGTGCTTACTTCAATTTACAAAGTTTATGATGTCTCCCACCTACCTCACCATTTCCATCTTACACTGTTCACTCCTGTGCACACTGAGCTCCAGGTACACTGGCCTTGTGGTTCACACACACGAGCCATTCCCACCCTAGCCATCTCCTCTGCCGGGAATGCTCTTCTTGGCAAACTGTCTTTCAGAAGGGACCTTAGCAGGCGCCCAGTCTCCCCCTCCGAACATCACCCTCTTTAAATTTTCTCCCTGACCCTGACACCTATTTATTGTCTGTCTCTCCGGGCCCATCCCCGCCTCCCCGCAATGTCCCCCGACCCCCATCCCCGCCCACTAACCCCTCCGCCACCAAATGGCTGCTTCCTGAGAAGACAATCTCCAGAAATACCTGGCCGGTTGACTGAACTGATGAAAACAATTTGTAGGGTACCGTGCACTGCTCTGTAGGATCGATTAAACAGCCGCCTTAATTACCTGTGCCAGAACTCACGGGAGGGCCACGCTGTCCCCCAACCCCGCTCTTTCCTGGCCACTCCTAAGAGTTCCAGATTGCGGGGGTTCCGATTGGTGAACTCTGGGGCAACAGCTGCATTTTCCAGAGGGTCCACGTCAGGCTTCGGCGCTGGCTTGGAACTGGTTGAGAACGCTGCGACCCCACACCCTAAGAATGGGAACCACCACACGTATCTTGAGAAACGACAAACACGGACAAAACAGGACTATGACCCCACCTCTGTCCCCATCCACGCCCCGGAAGGGAGAGAAGAGGTAAGTCTGGTCACAGAGTACAGTCATCACAGACCCTGGTTCTTAATTTCCTATTGTCTCTGCAATGCTGTTAGCCAGTTCCCTGCTCGGGGGGTTAACAGAAAACACGGCTTGCAAACGCACACTTCGTGTGCGGGCCCTGGGCGGGGGGGGGGGGGGTGTCATCTGGGAGAAGCGAGAATTACCAGGGTTCCTGCAAACCGACAGCCACTCCCAGAGCCGCGACCGGAGCGCCATCGCTGAGGGATCGCTGGCAAAGCCTCAGGAAAGCCTCGCGCCCTTCCCTCATCTGCGTCCCAGCCGCTCGCCGGCAGCAGCCATATTAACTCCGGGAAAAGCTTTTGGAATCCGGGGGTCACCTGCACCTCGACCCGGAACTAACAAGTCCCGCCGCCCAGCGGCTGACCCGCCGATCTGTTACCTAGGCTCCTCCAATCACTGCCTGCGCTGGCGTCCACGTGATGCTGCAGCCCGCCAACCACGTCTCAGCGACGCGCTTGCGGGCGGGGCGCAACCCGCTAGTTTGGGCTCCGTGTTCCGCCAGGGTCGAGTTGCTTTGTCTGGTCGCAAAGCGACCGCCGGTCGCTGTAGGATCCACATGCAGCCCCGCTGGACAATGGGGGACCATGGGGGTTTCTTTTCAGAAACCGTAATTGTCATTTTTCCCATATGGCCCATATAAAGCTCTTCCCGTCCAACCCAGGTTCCGGGCCGCAAGCCTAGGCCCGTGAGCGCAGGAACCAGGCTCGTGACTCGCCACGTGCTCGCCGAAGACCGTTAAAAGCAAACACGCGGAACTCAGAAGCCCAGCTTTCCCGTGAAGAGCCCGCCCTCTCTCGTCACATCCCAACTCCAAACTCCGCCCTACCGTCCCCCTTTTCTAGAAGGCACTAGAATGTGCAAAGGCGCACGCGCAACCCGCGCTTGGAAGAGGGGAGGAGAAGCTTCAGCCGACCACCTCCTTCCTTCTCCAGTGCAAGACCTTGACTTCCGTTCTCCTGCCTTCGCGCCCTTCTTATTCATTCTCTAATTGGGCGAAAATGCTGAGTCCGCCCTCTCTCGGCACCTCACTTCCTGCTCTTCAGCACTGCTCGCTTCCCCCCACCCCCGACCTCTTCTTTCCTTCCCGCCCTGCCCCGCGGCCGGGCCGGGGGAGCGGTGTTCCCAGCAGTCCCCGCGGCCTCGCTCGGGCCTGTTCCACGCCGTAGCCGCCGCCGCCGTTGTGGCCGCCACCGGGCCTTGGGACCAAGAAACTGGTTGTCCGCGGTGAGAGTGAAACTCGACGTGTACCCCGCCGCGAAGATGGAGGGGCCTTTGTCGGTGTTCGGAGACCGCAGCACTGGGGAGGCGATCCGCTCCCAGAACGGTAAGGACGAACGAGGCGTGGGTCAAGCCCACGGCGGTGCGGGGACGAGCCGAGGGCGGTGCGGGGCCCCGCCTCGCTCGGGCCGCGGCCGCGGCTGCGGCGCAGCGCCTTCCCTTTCTCTCCCGGGAGAGGGCCCGGGGTCCGACCGCGCGGGTCTCGTAGCTTCGGGGCGGGGCGGCAGCGCCCTCTCCCCGCTGGCGAGGAATTCCCGAGAGTCCTGCAGGTTTGGGGATCTGTCCCGTTGCGCGTGGCTAGCCGTGGATGCCCAGGCCCTGGAACTGGAAAAGCGCTCCCGGGCCTGGAGAGCCAGCTCCCCGCAGTGACACGTGCCGGTCACGCCTCGTGTCCCCTTTGGTCCGGGTCTTAGGTTCCGATTCTAACTAGCGGGAGCGTGTATCTCCACCTTTGCGCCTCGTTTTAGGACTGTTACCCAGAAAAGACTGGTCCTAAGTGCTCATTTTACGGATGAGCGAATGGCCGCGATCCAGATGACTTGCCCATTGTACCCCACTGGTTAGAACCTGCAGTAGATGCCGGGTGCTCCGTGTCCAGTTCCCATTCTGACCCCACCCATCGCTGACAGGTTTTTACAGTGAAGTTGGATGAGGAAATTTCGGTTGGACGTTAGCCTTTGTGGTACTTAAGATGAGTTTATCCTAACAAACGTTACGAATTAAGACATTTGTTGTTGTTGAACCTCTTGAGAGCGCGTGCACCTGGAAGTTATGGATGTCTGTCCATCTTATTTTAAGTAATTAGGATAGATTTGTAGATTTGGAAAATCCGGAGGCTGTTGGATGTCATTTACTTACTTTAAGCCGGAATGGCTGTCATTTGGAGCAGTGGATTTAATTTTTTTTTTTTTTCTCATTTCTACAGTTATGGCTGCAGCTTCCATTGCCAATATTGTAAAAAGCTCTCTTGGTCCAGTTGGCTTGGATAAAATGTTGGTGGATGATATTGGTGTGAGTACGCCTGTTTGTTACTTTACAGGAAAATAACAGTGCTTAAACATTGAGCTATGTGAATTCTCTGTTTTTATCGCAGTGCTGGTACGGGAAGGTGTAGTAAAGGTGATAATGGGTTTCTGATGGGTATCTGTTAACTTAAGAGGTGCTGTGTTTGCTGGTGATTTTGTTGTCTTTTTTCTTCCTTGTAAATTTCTTAGGATGTAACTATTACTAATGACGGTGCAACCATCTTGAAGTTATTGGAGGTAGAACATCCTGCCGCTAAAGTTCTTTGTGAACTAGCCGATCTGCAAGACAAAGAAGTGGGAGATGGGACCACCTCAGTGGTAGGTAGTTTGTCACCTGGTAGATGGCTGTAGATGGTTTTCCTAAAATTAAACTTCGATAAAGTGAAGCCATAAGTAAGTCATTTGTTTCTGAGTCAGAAATAAGCTCCATACTTAGGAGGGAGAAAAGTTTCATGAGTTTTTCAGCTACAAAAATATTCATATATCACATACAGAGGGGTTGTGTTTTTTTGTTTTTGTTTTTTTTCAGAGGTTTGTGTTTTTGTTTTTTTTTTTTAAGTTCTTTTTCTGTGTCACCTGGGTGGCTCAGTAAGTTAAGTATCTGTCTCTTGATCTCAGGGTCCTGTGTTCAGGCCCCTCGTTTAAAAAGAAAAAAAAAAGTTTTGTTTTCTTCTGCCACTACCTGAAACCCAGAAATCCTAAAAATCTTATCTTTATAACTAGCTAGGGGAAGAATATTATTGGCTTTTTTTTTTTTTATTTCCAAAGATGTTTTTATGTCAAATGCTGATAGGCAGTCTCGTGAGTTCAAAACAGGAGTGCAAGAAAGTAAATGTGAACAATAACAAACTTCTCAGATCATCCAACAAACTGATGTAGTGTGTTTTGTAGTATAGAAACACTATTATTTGGTAAGGAACAAATAATAGTTTGGTTTAAAGACACAGGCAGTAGTTTGCGGAGGAAATGTTTATATTTCTAGATTAAACTCCAAACCATGAAAAAAACGGAATCTACTTCTTCTGAAATGACAGATACAATTTCTAAGTAATTTGTCCACAATATTAAAAATAAAGTGATTATAATTTCCCCAGAAGCAGAGTTTTTGATTTGTTAATGTCTTTAGAAGAATGATTATTTGAATTCCGTTAATTAACACATAGTGTATTACTTGTTTCAGAAGTAGAGTTCAGGGATTCATCAGTTGGATATAACACCCAGTGCTCATTACATCACGTGCCCTCCTTAATGCCCATCACCCAGTTACCCCTTCACCACCTCCTCTCCAGCAACCCTCAGTTTCCTAAGATTGAGTCTTTTATAGTTTGTTGCCCTCTTTTTGTCATCTTATTTTGTTTTAACCTGCCTTCCCCTGTGATCCTGTTTTGTTTCTTAAATTCCACATAAGTGAAATCATATGATAATTGTCTTTGACTGAGCTATTTCGCTTAGCATAATACCCTTTGATTCCATCCATGTCCTTGTCCTTGGTAAGATTTAATTTTTTTTTTTTTTTAAGATTTTATTTTATTTATTTGACAGATCACAAGTAGGCAAAGAGGGAGAAGCAGGCTCCCCGCTGAGCAGAGAGCCCGATGCGGGGCTCAGTCCCAGGTCCCCGGGATCATGACCTGAGCCGAAGGCAGGGGCTTTAATCCACTGAGCTGCCCAGGTGCCCCCAAGATTTCCTTTTTTTTTTTTTTTTTTTTTTTTTTTTTTTTTTTTTTTTCCCCCCTAAAGATTTTATTTATTTATTTGACAGAGAGAGATCACAAGTAGACGGAGAGGCAGGCAGAGAGAGAGAGAGGGAAGCAGGCTCTCCGCTGAGCAGAGAGCCTGATGCGGGACTCGATCCCAGGACCCTGAGATCATGATCTGAGCCAAAGACAGCGGCTTAACCCACTGAGCCACCCAGGTGCCCCAAGATTTCCCTTTTTGATGGCTGAGTAATATTCGTGTGTGTGTGTGTGTGTACATACACTACATAAAAGGATGGTTTTTAAAATAAACCAAGTAATAATCTAAAATAGTATAAGTTATAGGAGGAGTAGAGTCTTCAGTTGGTTTCTGTTGAGCACTTAATATTTAAAGGTAGTGGATGTGTAGTTCTCTACTGTTGTCCACAGAACTGGTTTGTAAGCCAGAACACTTTTCTGGCTATCAGCCTTTGGCCATTTGCATGTAAAGTACTGTGTACGTGTATAGGGCATCTGGGTGGCACAGTCGGTTAATTGACCCAGGTCATGATCTCAGGGTTATGAGATCAAGGCCCATGTCAGCTCCATGCTGGGCGTGGAGCCTACTTAAGATTCTCTCTCCCTCTCAAAAACAAATGCACAATTTTTTTTTTTTCCAGATTCCCAATAACCAGTTATTCACCATCAGTAGCATTCTGGTTGATAATAGCTGATTTTTGTGTGGTTTTTACATAAGCATTTCACGTGCTGTCAGACCAAGAGCAATGAATATTTTCTCTACAGGTTATTATTGCAGCCGAACTTCTTAAAAATGCAGATGAACTGGTCAAACAGAAAATTCATCCCACATCAGTTATTAGTGGCTATCGACTTGCTTGCAAGTAAGATTGTTTGCAGTCAGAGAAAATTTTACATTATGCGATGTTATAGTTGTAAACAGTGTTCTTTAAATCTTGTTAATGACTAAATTTTATTTTGAAAAAGTGCTGTTTTAATAGTAATATTTGAAGTAAGAAGTAGGGCTGGTGGTTTGTTTTTTGTTCTTTGTTTTTTCCCATTTGACTACCACATTTTCTCCCAATAATAGATTTTGTTGGCTATGCTTATGGGATAGATAAAATTGCCATGATCTGAAGAGGGAGGATTTATTGTGTCCTCCTCCTATATGAAATGGCCAAACAGAAAATGGGTGCCTAAGACATTTTGACACAGTGATAAAACAAAAATTTTGAGTAGTGAACTTATAAGTGTTTTCTCCCATACACTTCAAACAGGGAGGCAGTGCGATACATCAGTGAAAATCTAATTATTAACACAGATGAACTTGGAAGAGATTGCCTGATCAATGCTGCTAAGACATCGA